ATCTCAAAATAAATAAATAGATAGATGATGATGATAGATAGATAGATAGATAGATAGATAGATAGATAGATAGATAGATAGATAAATGGTAGATGATAGATAGATAATTAAAGAGCTTGCATTTTCATATCATGGGAAAGTCAACACCAGTAGAAACATTTTTTCCCCTGAGGGAAATCCCAACTAAAATAATTTTGCTTCTTTCTTAATTTTTTATTACAATTATTTATTTGTGTACGTATGTGTGTATAAGTGAGCATGCATGCATGTCATGACCACATGTGTATCATGACCTCATGAATATGGAGTACAGGGGACAACCTTGAGGAGTCAGTTTCTCTCTTTCCAATGTGGGTCCAGAAGATGAAACACAGGTCCGCGGGCTTGGCAGCATGTGTCTTTACCTGCCGAGCCATCTTCCCAGACCTATTTATGCTTCTTGACTGTTTAAACTTTCAATTATAAAAAAGGAAAGGGTTTAATTACATTTTGATTATATTACTTTATTCTTTCAGCTTAAAACTTTTTAAAGCAGGATTGGGGATGAGGGTAGAACATTACCATGCCAAGTCAGCAATACTGATGAACTATTAATGTAATTCAAGACAAGGGTTTTTCCACAGAGGGAAAAGGATTGTTCAGTATGGGGCATAGCAGGATGCAAGGAAAAACGGGTTTTCTTTTCTTTCTTTCTTTAAAGATATATTTTAATTAATTTTAAAAAAATATTTTATCTATTATTATTTTTATGTGTATGAGTGTATTGCCTGTATGTGTTTAAGTGCACCTGCAGAGGTCAGTAGAAGGGATCAGATTCCCTGGTACTGGAGTTATGGACAGTTGTTAGCTGCCCTGTGGGTGCTGGGAATCGAACCCGGGTCCTCTGCAAAAGCACTCAGTGCTCTTAACTACTGAGTCATCTCTCCAGCCCCATTAATTTGTTTTATTGTTTTTTTTTTTTTTTGAGACAGGGTCTCCCTGTAGTCCCAGCTGGCCTGGAACTCACTATGTAGACCAGGCTGGCCTCAATCTCACAGAGACTGACTTGCCTCTGCCTCGGCCTCCTGAGTGCTGGGATTTAAGGAATGTACTATCACATCTGGTTCGTGTATTTTAGTTTTAACTACGTATATAGGTGTGTGTGCTTGTATCTAATAGGTGGCCTGGAGTCCAGAAGAGGGTGCCAGACCCCCAGGAGTTGTAGTTACAGGCAGTTTTACCAACATGTGTGTTAGGAACCAGACTCAGGTCCTCCACAAGAATGGTGCATCATCTTAACCGCTGAGCCATCTCTCTAGTCAGAGAGAAATGGGTTTTCATTTGGAAAAGTTACCTTATCTACACGATGTATTAGAAATGTAAGTGAAAAGAAAGAAAAAGTCTTCAACTCCAAGAATTAGGAAAAATAGGCCAGGCATGGTGGCACACACCTGTAATCCCAGCACTCGGGAGGAGTTTAAGAATTCAGGAATTCAGAGTTTGAGACTAACCTGGAATACACAGCAAGACTCAATTTTTTTAAAAAAAGGAAAATAATCAAGGGGCTGAGAGCATAGCTTAGTGGTTGGTAGAGTAGCAGCTCAGTGGTAGAGTAAGTAAATACATGGGGGCCAGGGTGATGCTCATCCAATAAAAGTGTGTGCTCCTTCTAGAGAGAACCTGAGTCCAGTTCCTGGTACCCACATCAAGCAGCTCACAACTGCCTGTAACTCTGTAACTCCAGATCCAAGGGAGCCAATGGCTTCTTCTGGCCTCTTCAGGGTTCACATACATATGTATAAACCTACACACAGGCACACACACATACACATAATTTAAAATAAAAATAAATCTTTTATAAAAAACGTAATTGGCATCTGTGAAACCCTAAGTTTGAACCCCAATACCCTAAAAAGATTTGGTTTTTTTTTTTGATTGATTGATTTTTATTTTATGTTCCTGAGTGTTTTGCCTGAATGGATGTAAGTGCACCCATGTCATGCAGTGCCCTTGGAGGCCAGAAGGCCCATTGGATCCCCTGGAACTGGCACTACAGATGATTGTGAGCTGCCATGTGAGTGCTGGGAACTGAACCTGGGTCCACTACAAGAGCAGCCAGTAGTCTTAACTGCCAAGCCAGCTCTCCAGCCCCAAGATTTAAGATTTCTTTTTGAGACAAGGTCTCCCTGTATAGGCCTGGCTATCCTGGAACTTGTTATGTAGACCATGCTGGCCTTGAATACACAGAGATATGACTGCCTCTGCCTCCTGAGTACTGGGATTAAAGACACCAACACATCCAGCCAGATATTTATTTATTTATTTATTTATTTATTTATTTATTTGTCTTTTTGAGAAAGGGTCTCTCTGTAGACCCAGCTGGCCTGGAACTCACTGTGTAGACCAGGCTGGCCTTGCACTCATGGGGAGATCAGCCTGCCTCTGCCTGCCCAGTGCTGGGACTAAAGGTGTGTGCCACCATGCTCGGCTAGATATTTAAAAATTTTAAAGAAACTCTGGTTCAATATTATTAATTTTTTTCTAAATTTTACATTTATGGACTGGGGAGATGACTCAGTGGTTAAGAGCACTGGCTGCTCTTGCAGAGGACCCAGGCTAACAACCATCCATAACTCCAGTTCCAGGGAATTCAACACCCTCTTCTGACCCCCTCAGACTCTGCATGACACGGATGCACTTACATACATGCAGGCAAAACACTCATACACATTAACTATAAATAATTTTTTAAAAAATTTAAAACTTTACATTTATTTATTTAATATGTATACACATGTGTGTGCATGCACACATACATGCCACCTTGCACATGTGAAAGTCAGAGGACAACCTTTGAGAACTCAGGTCATCACACTTGACAGCAAGCACCTTTACCCACCAGGGCTCACCATCTCATGGGCCCTTTACTTTCCTAAGTTTAAAATAGAAAATACTTTTACTTTGAATGGATCTCGTGTTCAGCAGTTCGCCCTCGATGTCCCAAACGCAGCACAGATTTAAAAGAACATAAAACCAGTGGCTGGGGCTGGAGAGATGGCTCAGCAGTTAAGAACACTGTTCTTGCAGAAGATCTGGGTTCGAATCCCAGCATCCACATGGCAGCTAACAACTGTCTGTAACTCCAGTTCCAGGGCATCCGAGGCCTCTTCTGTCCTTCACGGGCATTGCAGGACACAGGTGCACTTACCTACATGCAGGCATAACACTCATACACATAAAATAAAAAATAATAAATAAAATTTAAAAAATAAAAAACAGAAAAACCCCGTGGCTTTGAAACACCACCCTCTCCACATGTGTCCCCTTGAGGTCACTGTTTCCAGTATAGATCCTAAACACTGTAGTTTGGCAACCTTGATAGCTGCATGCACATACGATTGTAAGACATTTTCTTTCCTTTTATTTATTAGAAATAATTCATTTGTGAAGAGAAACTAAATAGAAGATTGTGAGAAGGTAAATCTTGAACCTCTATAATCGAGGCACCTGTAGAGAAACTGCTTCCGGGTTAATTGTTCTCCATTTTTCCCATTCTTTCTTTCTGTGTGGTATGTGCGGTGTATGTATGCTAGCCTGACAGCCAGCAAGCCCCTCTGAGCCTCCTGCCCCTACATGCTTGGGTTACAAGCATGCACTCCACCCCCAGTGTTTTGACATGGATGCTAGGGACTTGAACTCATGTCCTCATGCTTGTACAGCAAGTGCTCTTACTACTGAGCCATCTTCCCATTCCTTTCTCCTTTTTAAGAACAAGAATACAGGCTGGTAGCCTGGATCAGCAGGTAAAGGTGCTTACCGCCAGGCCTGATGACCGGAGTTTGATCCCCAGGACCCACATGGAGAAAACCAACTTCCTCAAGTTATCCTCTGACCTTCATATCTGTGCTTTGGCACATATGCCCATGTTATGCATATTTTCCACAATTTCTCCCTTCACCTAAACTTGTCTTCTACATTTACATACGTAGCTGGGTGTAAATGTTTGGGGGGGTTAATTTATGAGAAAAAATCTCAAGTATAAAAAATTAATTTCTTTCTTTTGACTTTCAAAACATTAGTACTTAGAAGAATGTAGAAGATTCATGC